AAATCCAGAAAAGATCTGTTTTCCTAACCTTGTTCACCTGTTTTATTATTTAAACTGCAGCAGGAGGGAGACATGCCTATTTTATCCAATTTCACACGGACGCTGGAAGGCATCTTCCAAAGGGTTTTTATTACTTACATGGACGACTGGCGCAGGAACATGACAGCTGAGCAAGAGGCACTCCAAGCCAAAGTGGATGCTGAGAACTTCAACTACGTCATCTTGTACCTCATGGTGATGATCGGAATGTTCTCTTTCATCATTGTGGCCATCCTGGTGAGCACCGTGAAGTCCAAGAGACAGGAACACTCCAACGACCCCTACCACCAGTACATCGTGGAGGACTGGCAGGAAAAGTACAAGAGCCAAATCTTGAATCTAGAAGAATCAAAGGCCACCATCCATGAGAATATTGGTGCGGCTGGGTTCAAAATGGCCCCCTGATAGGGGAGAAAGGTAGCAGGCCAACACCTGACATCCAGACATGAGATGCCAGTGCCACGAGGCAAATCCAAATTGTCATTCTGAGAAGAAAGTGAGTTCCTGGTTCTCTGTTGAGAATTTTCATGGAGATTATGTGGTTGGCCAATGAAGATAGCTGACGTTTCAGTCTCAGTGATTTATTTTGTGCTGAAGTATTGTTGGAGTAGTATTTTGTGCTGAAGACCTCTTTTATTTTCTGGGCAACTAAATGTCATTTTAATCAATTCAATGGTAAAAATAAAGCCAAATTGGAAGTAAAGTGTCTGGGCAGTGGCCGTGGGACAGAAAGGAGAGATTTACAAAGCACTGAATCTTCTTTCACATGAAACATCATTTGTGTGTGACAAATTCCATTCATAAATAACCCAGATGTATTATGTAGAAGCTGAGGCTCAAAAGCTACCACTCGCATATGAGATTGACATAGGGGCATTTATATATAATATTAATTCATGAGTGTTGAGTCTCAAGAGATGAATAAATGAACCATAAGGTTACTTTGTATTTATTGTTTTCCTGGCCTTTAATCTATTTAGAAATCTTAAGACAGAACCAACATTTCTCCTTTTTCCTTTGAGACAGTGTCTTGCTCTGCCACCCAGGCTGGAGTGAAGTGCTGTAGTCTCAGCTCACTGCAGCCTTAACCTCCTGGGTTCAAGTGATCCTCCCAGCTCAGTCCTCCCTAGTAGCTGGGGCTACAGACACGTGTGCCACCACACCCCGCTAATTTTTTTTTTTTGTAAAGTCAGGGTCTCACTATGTTGCCCAAGCTGGTCTTGAACCTGAACAAACATTTCAAAGGACAATCCATACCAGAGAAGTCGAATGTTTAAGAACTACCCAGAATAACAAGAACATATTTTAAAACTAACATTTAAAGTTCTGCAGAGAATTAATCTTAAAAAGTTATTATTATTTAAGGAAAAAAGTTATAATGTTGCATTATAAATGTATTCTTTTGACTTAATTTAGTTTTCCTCTGTTTACAATTACTTATTTGCATTTATGTTTAAGAAACTAAAGGTTCAGAAAGGGTCTAAATTGCTGATGCCTTCTGAAGACCTAGACAGGAACTACTTAATATTTTGTACCACGGGGTGCAGGATACATAGAATGTCAAGGCTGATCATTCTACTGTTGGCAGAACACTTCATTTATAGATGAGATAACTACAGTCCACTGAGAGGAGATGATTTCATTCACTAATTCAATCAGGCAACATTGATCTACTTGGTTCACTGGCCTAGACCCCAGGAGTATAAAGATGAACAAGGCCGGGCACAGTGGCTCATGCCTGTAATCCCAGAATTTTTGAGGCCAAGGCGAGTGGATCACCTGAGGTCAGGAGTTCAAGACCAGTCTAGCCAACATGGTGGAACCTTGTCTCTACTAAAAATACAAAAACTAGCCAGGTGTAGTGGCAGGTGCCTGTAATCCCAGCTATTGGGGAGGCTGAGGCATGAGAATCGCTTGAACCTGGGTGGCGGAGGTTGTAGTGAGCCGAGATTGCATTACTGCACTCCAGACTGCGTGACAGCGTTAAGACTCTGTCTCAAAACAAAACAAAACAAAAAGATGCACAGGATCCCTAAGCTCAGGGATCCTCATACAGTAGAGATGGAGTCAGATGCTAAACATTATGGTACAATGTGACAAAGCCCTAACAGAGATCAATGAAAAAGGGATATGGCCAGCCAGCGCAGGGACAGGAGGGCATGTCTAACACAGGTCAAGGTCTTCTTTCTCAGAGGAGCTGAGAGGAGCAGGTCAATGGCAGTAGAGAGATGTGGGGCCTCACCATTCCACAGCTTCATGCCTCCTAGTTTACCCTGTTCTCCCCCTGACACCCCAGCCAAGGCACAGCAATAATAGGCAAGGCCTCAAGCCTCAGGGCACTAGGACAAAATTGAGAAAAAGAGCTCTTCTTCAGAGCACGCTTGTAGGACTCCTTACTCCAACCACAAGATTTGTCTCTTTAAAATTACAGAGTGAGATATACAAGGTATCTACTTCCTAATAACAGATTTGCAATCATGCCACCTGAAGCATTCAGTCCCGTGTTAGAGAAAACCACCCATATTCCAAGAGCAGATGTAGGAAGAACAGCCTCCCTCCTCAGATCAGAAACCCAGAAATGCTGTCCCACCCAGAAACATCCATCCCAGAGAGCCTAGAGCAGCCATTAGGCTTTAAATCCCAGGACTCTGCTCTGCATCTAGACAGAAATCCGAGGTTTCTATCAGGTGACAAAGACCCTCTCCTTAACCAAACTATCAAGCCCCTCTGAGTCCTCTTCTTGGCCCTATACAAACTGCAGACTCTTGGCACAAATGATTTCGCCCACCTTCGCACACTAAGAGACTCAAACACTAGCATAGGTTCTAAGGGCTGAAAGCTAAACTGTCTGCCTGAGAAAAGTGAATGCTGCCTGAAGAATTTACTATCTGTTCCAACCAAAACCTGGTGACTGGCAGACAGTCCCCTGATCCCTCTCTTAAAGCAGTTACTTTAGAAAGTCTGCAATTATAAATCCTTTCTCTCCCACTTTGACATGTAAATCTTCTACCATTCAGAACGGTATTGTCTCTTTGAAATGCAAACATTCGAAGTCTCCTTGCTGAGTGGATGCCTTGCTCTAACTTACTGCCCCCTCATTATAGACAGAAGTTTGTTTCTTTCTCGATAAGAGCCAATTAACAAACCCAGATCACACTGACCAACCCCTTCCTGTTTTTTATGCATTTCCACTTCCTTCACTCTGCTCAAGCCCCGTTCCCACTCAGTTACCTTTGCACAAAGGGTAATTGGGCTGGGCCACTTTCCTCGGGCAAGAGCTAATGATTTCAGTTAATCCTTGCTGGTATAACTAGTGACTGGTTTTGTTTACCTCTGAGACAGGTAAACAAACACATGGAGAGCAAAATCAAATTTTTTTCTGGCTGGGTGCAGTGGCTCATGCCTGTGATCCCAGCATTTTGGGAGGCCAAGATGGGAGGATCACCTGAGGTCAGGAGTTGGAGATCAGCCTGGCCTACATGATGAAACCCCATATCTGGGCGCCCGAAATCCCAGCTACTTGGGAGGCTGAGGCAGGTGAATTACTTGAACCCAGGAGGTGGAGGTTGCAGTGAACCGAGATTGCACCACTGCACTTCAGCCTGGGCAACAGAGTGAGGTTCCATCTCAAAAAAAAAAAAAAAAAAAAAAAAAAAAAAAAAAAAAAAAATTGAGGTTTTTCCTAATTAAGTACATTTCATCACTGAAACTAGGGTGATAACATAGAGGGTTATCAGCCAACTTCACTTTGGGGGAATGGGAGAAATGATGACTCTTTCCAAGCACGCTGGGTGAATAGTGGTTGAGGACATTTGCCAAGATTGCCCATCTAGGATCCACTCCCACCAAACCTGGGCTTTTCACTTTCAACCTACCAGCTGAAAATGCCAGGTCATTTTTCTACCCCATTTGCTTTTAGAGTTCCTTCTGCCTGTTTTAGTGGCTCTATGTGACCTGAATACCACTTATTTCTTAAAGCATAGCTCAGATGCTATTTTAAAAGGAGCCCAGGATATTGGCTGATCTGATAGAATCTAGACCCAGATTACCCAGGGTCAAGTCCCAGTTCTGGTGCTTGCTGCCTTTAAAGCCACAGAAAAATTACTTTAATCTCTCTGCGTCTCAATTTCCTCATTTGTGAAATGGTTACCATTATAGCACGTCCCTTACAGCCTTGATATGAGACTTAGGCAAGAGCCACTAAGTGCTTAGAACAAACCTGTCTCTGTTACTTTCTCCAGGAACACTTCCCTTAACAGAACCAACCCCTCCACCCCCCAGTTCTTGCCTCTGCACCCTCTATCATTCTAACATAACCACAGAGTCTTGATGGGATTTGGAGTTACACTGCCTTGGTTCCAATCTCAATTCCGCCACTGCCATTCGCGCGTTTTCTATTGCCAGCCAACTTACTCTCCCCTGTCCCCAGTTTCCTCATCCTTAGAGGGTGAGCAGAGCAAATGATGGTAACTCCATGCACATTCCTCTCGTCATCCTTGTGTTGGGTGCCCAGTTTGTGCCCTCCCATGGCGCTAGCACTGAGTGGGCTCAAACTGCACGCGTCTACGAAGCATCTGGTTGAATCGAAGAAATCTGGGAACTAGCACCAGGGCACCATACCGTTACCCCGAAGGAAAATGCATGCGTGGTGTCAGAGATCTGGAAACTTCTTAAGGGGACCCACGTGTCCTCGGCTGCAGACAGCAGCGAGAAGACACCCAGGGAATGCGAGACCGGGGAGGGTCGGAGGGGTCCCGTGACAACTCAATCCCGCTCTGGTGAGTTCAGAGCGAGAACACGCCCCCAGGCCTGTGCTGCCCGGTCCACTCCCCAGCTCCTCCCCGTTGGGGCCTAAGTGAACATCAGCCTTCCGCTACTCCGCCCAGGCTGCTCGCCTGGGCCCACTGCGCCTGCGCACGGAGCGGCGCGCCCTAGGACGGCTGCCCGCGCCCACGGCGCCTTCGCACGGAGTAGTGCACCCCTCCCCCCAGGTCGTCTGCACCGGCCCACTACGCCTGCGTACGGAGTGGTGCGTTTCGGGAAGTGTAGTTTAGTTTTTCCCGTGGAAGTCTTGGTTTGTGTGCGGCGGGGAGCTGGAGGCTCCGCCGCCAGGAGCAGTAAGTGTGTGACGTCGGGGTAGGAGGGAGCGACTCGACCTCAGTATCTCTTTGGGGTGCTGCGATCTCGCGGCCGGCCCTGCGCTATAGTTTTCTCTCCTAGACAAACGTCTGCCGGCCCCCTGCCATGCTGGGGCGGGGATCTGGAGGATGAAGGCCACCAGGCCGCATCCGCTGGGCGCCCCTGCTGGATCCCGCCGTCAGGCGCCGCCAAACCCGCAGAGCTGCGTGTTCCGGCTGGCACACGGCCCGGGCGGGGTCCACGATTGGTTCAAGCCTAAGGGTGTTGGTCCCCGGAGGGTCTAGGGGGACGATCGAATGTTCTGGAAGGGCGGGGGAAGCGGTGACAGCCCTTGGCCCTCATTCTTAGGTCTGAGGGGGGGCAGGTGGGGAGAGGACCCTGGACTGGCCCCCGGGTTACCCAGGAGGAGCTGAGGCCAGAGAGGTTCAGCGACTCGCCCAGGGTTGCACAGGGAGCACAGACACCGACGTTGCTCTCCAGGGCCTGGGCTTCCAGCAGGAAGAGAGGCAGAAACCTGTCTTGGCTCCTCGGCAGATCCCTGGGTAGCTGAGATCGGGCGGGGCTGGGTTCTTGAAGGTCAAGGCCCCCGTGTAGAGGGGCAAGTGATGCCCGAGGTTCACCTGGCAGCCCCCTCCCTGGACCTCCTTCTGTGTATGATTGGGTGAAGGTTTTGTGAAAAGGGTAGAGACTGGGAATGAGAACAGCTTCAGAAAGTTCAGACAAAGGGCGCAGCATGGAAGGATATAGCGGGTGGTAGACTGATCCTCGAATTTGTTAGGGGTGCCGAGAAGAAAAGGTATCAATAGTTTGTGGACAACACATTATCCATATTGCTTTAGTTGGCCTAACCAAAATAAGCGAATAGCTTTTTTGTTTCTAGCAGAAGCCTGACAACGGAAGACAGGATATTTTTGCAGTGAAGGAAATAGAAATATTTGGAGTTGTAGCTAAGCCGCTTGTTACTTTTGAGTTTTAAGCTGAGATCGTGGATAGTTCCAAGGAAAGTTAAAAATTTCCTGCACTTCGTGGACTCTATTCCCCTCGAAAAGTCCCCATCTTGTTGGCTTTTGCAGTTCAGCCCTCAGATACCAGCTGCCTCTTGTTTCTAATATTGCATCAGGTGTACATATGGCAGCAAAGCACATAGCTTACTGATACTTTTAGCTTTTTTGTTCTCATTTGCTGAAGGCTGAAGGGTGCTATGGAAATGGCTGGCTTGGGTGTGCAATTGAAGGGAGGTGGGGAGAATTGGTTACTCGGAGGCAGTTGGTGGGAATGAGCAGGGCAGGTCAGGGTGGTTCACTCTCTTGCCTGCCACCCCCAACAGCCCTTCTGTTACTGTTGCAGATTGACTCTAAATGTTTCTTTCCTAAAGAGTTGAATGTTACCACTCTAGGTATGAAGTTGAGGCAGCTGCCAGTATATTTTGGCATCAGGTCCTGTGATATGAGCCAGGATGGTGAATTGTGAATTCCAGAGTTGCAGAATTGTTCTTTAGATTTAGTTTTTTCCTTTTTTTTTTGAGATGGAGTTTCAGTGTATCATCCAGGCTGGAGTGCAGTGGCGTGATCTTGGCTCACTGCAACCTCCGCCTCCTGGGTTTAAGGGCTTCTCCTACCTCAGCCTCCCGAGTAGCAGGGACTACAGGTGCATGCCACCACACCCGGCTAATTTTTTGTACTTTTAGTAGAAACAGGGTTTCACCATGTTAGCCAGGATGATCTCTATCTCCTGACCTCGTGATCCACCCACCTCTTTCTCCCAAAGTGCTGGGATCACAGGTGTGAGCCACCGCTCCCAGCCTAGATTCTGAATTTTTTAAATGACAACACTTAGCTTCAGAGGGTTAATGACTTACTCCATATGCCACACCATGGGTGCCACCAAGAGGTTCAGGTCTCCAGTTCTCCTGGTCCTCAGGTTGCTGTTCTTTATTCCACGCCCTGCTGTCTTGGAATGACTGCATTTTGCACTGGATGCCACTGGTCTATATCCTTCAGCTTGGCATGTTCGGTAGTGGATGGAGTGAGATTTAACATAACAAGAACAGCTGACATTTAATGCTTTCTCTGTGCTGGCTATGGTGCTTTGTGTTTACAGTCTAATCTGCAAGAGAATTTACAGATGGGCAAGTTGAGGCTGAGAGAGGCCAAGTGACTTGTCTGAGGTCACATTGCTACTGAACACAGCACAGGCTTTCTAGAGGGCCAGACCACGGGATATTCTTTTTCATTCATTTCCTCCTGCAAGATTGGTGGACCTGTTTCTCATTCTTGACTTTGGGAATCAATATTCTACATACATCAATTCAATGGATATGCAGTTTTGCCTCAGAAAATTTTGAAGGAACAGCCAGACTCATCTACTGTATTTGTATACAACTCAATTAAAGCGGGACTTGTAAAAATAACATTTATAAGACCTTTAACATTTTAATATACACACAGCCAATCACTAAGATTATTAGAGATTCTCGAAGTGGGAATTGTAGCAACAGGTTGTAACATGTTAGGAGCATATTTCTTTAGTGCAGGTCAGAATCTGCTTCTCCTTAAAGATAAGTGGGCCATTTATACATAGAGGTAATGAGCAAATTCAGCCACCATCATTAAAACAGATCTACCATTTAAATTCCTATCACTAGCTTATCTGACTTTGAAAAAGTCATGGGGAAAACTTGGCTACGTTGTGCCAACTGCTAGCTTGTTTTCAAGATATTATAATCTTGAATAGATGGGGAATGAACTTTTTATACTTAGATATCTTTGTAATTGAAAAAACTTTTTTTTTTTTGAGATGGAGTTTTATTCTTGTTGCCCAGGCTAGAGTGCAATGGCACAATCTCGGCTCATCGCAACCTCCGCCTCCTGGATTCAAGTGATTCTCCTGCCTCAGCCTCTCGAGTAGCTGGGCTTACAGGCATGCGCCACCATGCCCGGCTAATTTTGTATTTTTAGAAGAAGTGGGTTTCTCCATGTTGGTCAGGCTGGTCTCAAACTCCCAGCCTCAGGTGATCTGCCTGCCTCAGCCTCCCGAAGTGCTGGGATTACCAGCGTGAACCACCAAGCCTGGCTGAAAGTTTTTTAAAAATCGTCTTGCCTGAGGTTCATTGTATCCCCATTCTAAAGGCCTTTGAAATTTTCAGCCACTTTTCTTAATTATAACTGTAAGTGCATTTCAAGAGAAATGTTTCCCTGACTTCTGAATGCAAAGCTCACTGCCTGCGTCAGGATAGTGCCGAGGTTAAAGCCCCAGAGCCAGACTGGATGGGTTTGAATCCCAGGCCTACCTGTGAGACCTTGGATGTGTTCCTACATTTCGTTTTCTCTTCTGTAAAGTGGAGACAGTCAGCTGTGTCATGGGGTAGTTGTGAGGGCTACATGCCTTAACTCATTTAAGCACTGCAGCCACTTTTCTTGTCTCATACAAAAAAGTTAAGCTATGATTATTGTGCTATAAAGCATTGAATTTCAGAAAGAGTAGGGACACTAAGCACCACGTCTTTGACACGTTTCTTCATTTACAGATAGGACTGAAGCCCCAGAGGGAAGTCACTTACCAGAGATGTAGGAGGCTCTTGGGGTACGTGGCATATTCTGAGAGTAGTGACCGCCAAGGCCCTGGAGTGAGTCCTGTGCTGGGGCTGCCCCTGCCTTCTCACTTCCTTCCTGCCTTCTGCTATGTCTCCCTCAAGCTGTAGAGAGAATTCCGCATGTGAATTGCATCTGACAGTTTTTCTGCCCTGTCCTTTATTCCCTTGCCTCCAGATAATCCTTGAAAAAACCAAGATGAGCTTAATTAACACTCAGAGGACTTGACAAAGACAGTCCCCAAACAGCCTCTGTTTAGGTCTGGAGCAGGTAGAGGGACAGATTTTAGACGTGGCCTCTTAGGTCCACAGATGAATGGGATGGGAGCACGTGGCCCCTCGGGAGCGGTGCTGGGGGCTACAGAGAACTGCTGAGGAGAGCTTTCGGCTCATTGAGGACCAGTCCTGTCTGGGCTTTCGCCCAGCTTGTCCACTTCCCAGCAGTCTCTCAATCGCCTTATCAGGACACAGCCCACCTCTCTGTGAAGCTCACTTTCTGTTCACATGCCCTCACTCCATCAAAGAGACATCTTTCTAAGGTGGTCTGCCCTAGGAACTCCAAATTGACCTGTTTCTTTCTTCCTGCCCAGGTCAGACCTTCCGGCTCCCTGGACTTGACCTTCCAGCCGCCTCTCATGTACTTGTCTGGTGGGGGTTTGTGTTATTAATCAGGAGTGAATTTACAGTTGCTCTACCATGAACTGGAAGGTGAGTATAGTTTCAGGCACACACACCCCTGCCAGGTGCACACACCCATGTCAGAAACACACCTGCATCAGGAACATACACTGCTGCTGGGCGCACATACTCATGTCAGACACACATGCCCGTCAGACACACACATCCAGGTGCACATACCCCTGTTGGGCACACACGCCCTGGGCGCAGTACCTATGTCAGACATACTTGCTCCTGTCAGGTGCACACACCACTGTTGGGCACACACCTCTTTCAGGTGCACACCTGTCAGGTATAGGTGTGACAGATTCTTTTCTCAGTCAGTGTAGTGTTAGCATAAATATATATGGCTTGGGGTTTTCCCCTCCTCCTGATGGCGAAAATTCAGAATAACAGTTCTATACAAGTAGATTGATTAAAAAGAAAAAGGTGAAAGCCTAATATTTATGTTTCATTTTAAGTTAAACATAAATGTACATTTACTCACTGGACTTGAGGAAGAAGGCCAGACCTTTTCCTCTTGTGTGCATTCACTAACTTCAAATCTGCCTCACTGTTCTTACAAAAATTAGACCTTTAAAGCTTTACCTGCAATTTTGCATTTTGCTTTCTTTTTTTATACATTTTTTTTTGTGGAGATAGGCTTCCATTATGTTGCCCAGGTTGCTCTTGAACTCCTGGGCTCAAGCAGTCCTCCTGCCTGAGCCTCCCAAAGTGTTGGGATTGCAGGAGTGAGCCACTGTGTTCAGCCTGTTTTGGTTTCTTTAGAGTAGGTGCAGTGGACTGAATGTTTGTGTTTCCCCCGGTTCATATGTTGAAACCCTAGTGCCCAGTGTGGAGTTGGAGCCTGTAAGAGGTTATCAGGTGAGGAAGCTGGAGCCCTTATACAAAGGACTCCAGAGAGCTCTCTTACCCTCTTTCTCCCATGTTGGGGGCACAACAGGAAGTCAGCTGTCTGCCACCTGGAAGAGGGCCCCACTAGAAGCCACCTGGACTGCACCCTGATCCCCAGGCTTTCAGCCTTCCAAACTGGGACAAATATCTTTTTAATAAGTCACCCAGTCTGTGGCCCTTTGTTGGAGCCTGAATTGACTCAGACAGTGGATTAAGATCTTAGGAAGCTCTGCACACAGCATCTTTCCAGAGTTTCATGCTCTGCCCGAATCTTCTACAGTTGTCTTGCCAACAGCATTTTTTTTTTCCAGCTCAAACTTGAGTCTTTCAAAGTATTCAACTTGGTTTTCATATAAACTTTGTTTTACACAGTCATATTTCACAAGTGTAATGTTTTAGTAAGTTATCGAACATAATGTCAAGTACAACTTAAATTGTTTGGTGAATAAACACACCTGACCCTTGTGGATCATTAGATTTGACTGGTGGGAGCAGAAGTTCAAGGGCAGCCAGAGAGTAGGTCAGCAGTCAGGTTTCACAGAGAGAAAGGAGAATGTCATTTTAAGTCCCTGAAGTCGGTAAGGTGTGGTGGAGGTTGGTAAAGAGAGCAGCCACTAAAATATACCTTTATTGTAGTCACTTAGCAAAGTCTAAAATCAAGCAAAAATTATACATTGTCTCACCATCTAGAGATGGCTACTATTAGCAATCTTGGTATAGTAACAATCTAGGTATAGTAACAATCTTGGTATAGTATCCTTTTCTGTATATGTGTGTGGTGTGTTTTCATACATAGGATCTTATTATATGTGTTTTTTCAATTATTATAAGCATTTTCTTCAAAACATCCAGTAGTGTTCTATTGCAAGGAGAAACTGGAAAGGTCTGGAAGCAGGACCAGGGAGTCAGGAAAGTAGCTTTCCCATCTTCCCCAGCTCTTTGGGGCAGGGGGCTTGGCAGGCCCTGCAGGAGGGCTGAGACCTCAGGACCTGGCATAAGTTAAAGATGCAGAATGAGTGTTCTATGACGGGTTGGAAGATATAGGAGAGTTTGTTTAGCATGGCTTGAGGATCAGAGCTCACAGTGGAAAGGTTGGGAGGGAAAGAAGAGGCAGTGAGAGGATGGAGAGCGGAAAGCAGTGTGGGGTGAGGTTTAGGGGAGCCATTCACCCACTGCAGTGGCTGAGTCAGTAGAGGTGAGAGGCAGTAACTGGTACTAAGGGCCAAGGTTCAAGGCATTAAACCTAATGCTTCCTGGTGGTGTTTCTCACTCTAGGACTAGTTAAGGCAAGGATTTTAGGCCCCACGCCCAGAGCTTCTGATTGGGTAGATCTGGCTGGGGCTGAGAATTTGCACTTTTCTCAAGTTCCAGCAGTGCCGATGCACACCGGTCACCAATGCACACCGGTCGAAGGCAACATGTGGAGACTCTTCTTCTTAAATTGTGGAGTGGCACCAACCCACTTGACCCTTGGGCCAGTCTTGCTTGTGACAGTTTTTTCTGCCGTCAGGAACAAAATCTGCCCAAACCTTCCCAGCCTTAGCACCATGGCTTCCATGGAGCAGCTTTGCGTTTAAACACAGCCCCTTCCAATGTAGCGTTAGAAAGCAATGGCCCCAGGCTGGGCACTGTGGTTCATGCCTGTAATCCCAGCACTTTGGGAGGCCGAGATGAGCAGATCACTTTGAGCTCAGGAGTTTGAGACCATCCTGGACAACGTGGCGAAATCCCGTCTCTACAAAAAAAAAAACACAAAGATTAGCTGGGCATAGAGATGCGCACCTGTAGTGCATCTGGGGAGCTGAGGCTGGAGAATTGCTCGAGCCTGGGAAGTGGAGGTTGCAGTGAGCCTAGATTGTAGCACTGCAGTCTGGGCTACAGAGTGAGACCCTGTCTAAAAAGGAAAGGAAAGGAAAGGGGAAAGGAAGGAAGGAAGAAAGGAGGGAGGGAGGGAGGAAGGAAGGAAGGAAGGAAGGAAGGAAGGAAGGAAGGAAGGAAGGAAGGAAGGAAGGAAGGACCCTGATAGCAGAGAGCTGCAGAAAGTTGAAGGATTCTTTGAAGGATTGTGTACCCCCAGAGCATCTGGAGGCCTTCCCCCTCTGGCTCAATGGGCCGTGGCCGGCAGCGACAGTCAGCACTGCCTGTGCATTAGTAACAAATGTGGCCTCATGATTCAAAAACTTCCTTATTCCCACTTTACAGGTGTTGGGGTTTTATTTTTAAAAATTAATGTAGATCTAGGCCAGGCATGGGGGCCCATGCCTACAGTCCCAGAACTTTGGGAGGCTGAGGTGGAAAGATCACATAAACCCAGGAGTTCAACACCAGCCTGGGCAACATAGTGGGACCCCCATCTCTATAAAAAATAAGAAAAAATGAGCTGGGCATGCTCTCACGTGCCTGCAGTCCCATCTACTCAGGAGGCTGAGGGGGAGGATTGCTTGAGCCTGGGAGCTGTGATCATGCCACTGTACTCCAGGCTGGTTGGAGTCTCAAAAAGAAGTTAATATAGATCTAGTCTACCCTGGTAGCATTCATTTTCCTCACTGAAGGTCTGCATGTTTCAAGAAATATAAGGGGCTTATATTAAAAGGAAATTAGAGGAAGTGGTTTCACACCACTGAAGGTTAGTGCCTAGGAGAGGGGCAGGAAAGGGGTCCCGAGGCCCTTCGCATTAGCCTATTAATGTTCTTGACCTCTGCTGCCCTTGTTCTGCCTCCTTCTCAGTCCAAACCTCGGCCTCTTGCTGTGCCTTTTTGCTGTCTGTAAAAGAAAGTGGGCACCGAAGCCTCCTACCTGCGTCCGTTGGCTGATGCATCTCCATTTTCGTGGGTTTTCTAACTTCTGGATGAGAGTGTACACCCCGCAATTGCTAAAGCTAGGTTTCCTATTTGGATTGTAGGGAGCTGTGGGCAGTAATGTGGCCTTTGTTATATTAATAGTAGAACCCCATTAGTTTATGCGGAGAGACTGAGAAAGCTGGAAGAGAGTAGCTTTTCCCAGTGTGATTCAGTGCGTCAGATAGCCTGGGAACTCCTAGCAGAAAAAAAAGAAGTTTCTACAGCACCATTCTTAGCATAGCTGGTTTGTATGCATGGAGTCAAACCTTCACCACTAAAATGTGAACCTTCAAGAAAACAGAGGATCTCAAGGTTTATTGAAGGGAGGGGCTTAGCTTAGGGAGAGAAGAGCCTGGTAACCACGTCAGTATTTGAAGCCGCTTGTGTTTACCAGGGTAAAAAGTTGAAAAGTCCCACTTTCTGAACGTTTTCAGTCTTTTATACTGATGCCAGCATGATCTTTCTGAAGTAGATGTGACGTGTTTATTCTTTACTGTCAAAATGAGTTCGTGGTTGAAAACTATTAGCTGATTACTGAGTGTTCTTGTGTTCTTACTGTTTTAGTAAAATTAAAACGATTTAAGTATTTGCATCCCTGCCCCCTCCCATGGTTTTCATTCCATTTCTGTTATATCACGTTATATCCTTCTGCAGATCCATACATAACCAGTAAGATGATTTCAGAGGGAGCGAGTCCAGTTGCCTCTGGAAGTTTCAGTAGCCAAGCCGTAGTGTATTTGCATAACATAATTGTGAAGTGGATGAGTGTGAGGAATGAATCATACATAGTAGGACAGCGTGATGCTACAGAGTTGGGCTTTGGAGCTGGGTCGGGCCCTGCCTCGCTGACTGCTGCTTCCCCGCCTCTGCATTTTCTCAGCTCTGCTGCAGTCGGGGCGATCCATCTGCTCACGGAGGTAGCTAAGGACAAGAGGGAAAGAGCCACGTAAGGCACTTTGCATGCTGTGAGTTCCAAGTCCACAGTAGCTGATGGCTACAGTTCTAAGTGTGAAATCCACATCTAGTTCTGAGTCATAAAGAGTTTTGATACAATCGTAGGAACATGTATCTACATATATTGTGATTTCCTGAATTTCAGCATATTGAAAATCAGGCATCGGTGGAAGGGAAGGGAGACTGGCCCTGGGGTTAGAATGTCCTTCCAACTAGCTCCTCATGAGGGAGCTGTGGGACCTCTCAGCCTCCTGGAGCTCTACTTTCCTTGCTCATGTAACTAGGGGGTCAACTAGGTCACCCTGAAAGTTCTTTTCAGCCCCTCGGTTCTGTGAGCATCTCATGCACACCAACTAGGTTCAGATCAACTTCAGTTAGACTATTAGAGGGAGGTGTGCATGTACCCCCATAGCAGAATCTCATTTTATTGGTATTACATAGAGTAAGTGATTGGCAGAAATATGAGGATTTCACTGGGTGTGGTGGCGCATGCCTGTAGTCCCAGCTACACAGGAGGATTTATCTGGGTTTTTGTTGCTGTTGTTGTTTTAAGATACGGGATCCTATCAGGTAAGATGCTACCTGGTTCTCTAAAATAATGATTGCTCAACCGAAGCATACCTTTTCACTATTTGGGAAGGAATTTTTAATCACCTCAAAAGCACATAATTATCATTCAGGTCATACTAACCATGTGTATGGAACTGGTATTTGCTTTGAGGTACTGCTGCAATATGTAGAATTTCACAAAAAAACTTACTAGTGCAAATAGTGAATAATTCAAATTCATAGTTTTTCCCTAGGTTTTATTTTAGTAAATGGGTTTGCAAGAGCAGTTGATAAGTAGCTATGTTTTAATGTTTTCAGTTCTGCTGTGTTTTATTTTACCATCAAGTGCCAGTGCTAATGAGTCTCTAGAAACAAGAGAAAATCCAGAGTATGAAAGCTGCAGTTTCCAGAAGCAAGGTCTGATTCACCTTGACTTTGCAGATGAAGGGGCAGGAGCTCAGAAAGGCCCATGGCCTGACCCAGGTGGCACAGTCAGTTGGTGGCAAAGTAGAGCTGTCACCCAGGTCTCTGGGCTCCAGCTTCTTTCACTGATCTGGCTGCTGCCTCAGAAGCAAGGGTCTGGGTGATCGGCAGGTTGCATGGTTTGAGCTGAGAGAGACCAGAGTCACCATGCCGGTAGTTGACTGGTGGTCCCCTCCATGAAGCCAGTCGCAAGCAAGCCACAAAGAGCAGAGCTGTAACTTGAACGCCGGTCCCGTGGGGATGCAGACCTTTTCTGCTTGGTCTCCAGTGTAGCCCCCGCTCCTAGCCTCGTGCCTGTTGCGGAATAGGTACTAAGTAAATATTTGTTGACTGAAGGAACATAAAAGAAACCTCCCACATCAGTGATGGAACATAGCATGACTCCTTTCTTCTTCAAGGTTCTTGAACACGTGCCCCTGCTGCTGTATATCTTGGCAGCAAAAACGTTAATTCTCTGCATGGCATTTGCTGGAGTGAAAATATACCAAAGAAAAAGATTGGAAGCAAAACAGCAAAAACTGGAGGCTGAAAGGAGGAAGCAATCAGAGAAAAAAGAGAACTGAAGGTGAGTTACCGGAACCTGCAAACGGGAGCCGGCCAGTGGGGCGGCCAACGAATGAGAGAGCTCTGAGGCCTCCCTGTCCGTCGGGTCGGAAGGGCTATGTGGGGCACGTGGCCTCACCTGTTCTCTAGAAGGGCCAGGTGTGCAGATCCTGGGCCTGGAATCTGAATGCTGCTGAGCCGAGGCTCACGGAGGATTAGTTCATCCTTCTCGAAACCTGCAGTGCAGTGGTTCTTCACAGGTATTGGGTTAAGAATTGAGGAATTAGTGACACTCTGGACCTACTTCCCAGAGAAGCATATACTAAAACCATCTGCATTTGTGTGGGGAGAAGTTTGCAGATGTGAGAAGTCACAGGTCATTTGAAATTCTAAGATTAAGAAACCCTGTAATCTTTAAGATAAAGTCTGACTCCTTGGGATGACAAATCCCTTCCCAGTCTGGTCCCAATCCAGACTTCACTTGCCGCTTCTGCCCACTCACTGCAGGCCATTCCTCGGCCACCATGGCACATTCATCGCTGTCACCCAGAGCCTGTCACCTGTCACAATGCACACTGGTGGGCTCAGAACATACTTGGGAAGTTACAATACATCAAGGCACCAGAACGTTACAGATCTAACACCTGATAGTTCACAGCTGCCTTGATTCTGGTGCGTTGGTGTGGTTTCTTCAATTTGCACGTTGTTTTGTACTTTAAAAATTGGAGGATTCAGCCAGTGTGGTGGCTCATGCCTGTAATCCCAGTGCTTTGGGAGGCAGAGGTGGGAGGATTGCTTGAGCCGAGGAGTTTAAGGCCAGCCTGGTCAACATAGGGAGACTCTGTCTCTACAAAACCTAAAAAACAACCACCAAAAAAACGCTTAGTCACACACTTATTGGGTGGGGTAACACATGCCTGTAGTCCCAGCTACTCAGGAGACTGAGGTGGAGGATTGCTTGAGCCCAGGAATTCAAGGCAGCAGTGAGCCATGATCACACCATTGCACTCCAGCCTGGGTGACAGAGCAATACCCTGTCTAAAAAAAAAAGGATTAAGTATGTGGCAGTGGTGGGGGTTCTAGGTTAGTGCTTCCCAGACCCGGCTAATGATTAGAATTGCCCAGGTGTTTGTTAAAATGAAGATTCCCAGGCTTCAACCCAGAGAGATTCCATAATGTCTCTGGTTAGGTTTCGGTATCTGGGTTTTTTTGTTTTTATGATGTGGGATCCTACTCTGTCATCTAGGCTGGAGTGGTGCAGTGGCATAATCTTGGCTAACTGCAGTCTCAGCCTCCGGGGCTCAAGCAATCCTCCCACCTCAGCCTCCCAAGTAGCTAGGACTACAGGAGCATACGACCATACCTGGCTAGGTTTTTAAAAAACTTTTTGGTAGAGAAGGGGTGTTGCTGTGTTGCCTAGGCTGGTCTTATACTCCTGGGCTCAAGCAATACTTTCACCTCAGCCTCCCAAATTGCTGAGGTTACAGGTGTGAGCCACTGTGCCCAGCCTCTGTTCTTTTTTTTTTTTTTGAGATGGAGTTTCACTCTTGTTACCCAGGCTGGAATGCAATGGCACGATCTCGGCTCACCGCAACCTCTGCCTCCTGAGTTCAAGCAATTCTCCTACCTCAGCCTCCCGAGTAGCTGGGACTACAGGCGTGTGCCACCATGCCCAACTAATTTTTGTGTTTTTAGTAGAGACGGGGTTTTACCTTGTTGACCAGGATGGTCTCGATCTCTTGACCTCGTGATCCACCCGCCTCGGCCTCCCAAAGTGCTGGGATTATAGGCGTGAGCCACCACGCCCGGCCCACCTCTGTTCTTTTGAAAACCAGTTAGGTAATCCTTAGGTTGTCTTCTCAGCAACAGATCATCGTAGGAACCACTGGGCTCAGTGACCCCCCAAACCCAGCCCACTCTGAGATTCCATGCTTCTGTCAGTAGGAATTCCTTTGCAGTGCCGTCAGACTCGTTGAGGTTAAAGGCCTACTGATGAGGAATAGTAACAACACCTACTGGGTGGTTCTTCTGTGCTGGGGACTTGGCCAAGCAGTTCATGCACAAGTGTGTTATTCAGCCCTGATGACTCTGTGAGGCATGTTCAGATGGAAAGAATGGCTCACTCTGTACGTGGTGAAGAACAGAAGCAGAAACGGATCCCAGGTCAAATGCATTCAATCATCAGGCCCAAGCCCAGCTGCACTGCCTTCCTGAATACAGGCAAGTGAGCTTGGAGGGACACTTCACTCTCAGTTACTCACCCTTTCCAGCGTCTGCCCACCGCTTGCTGGTCCTCAGTGAGCTGTAGGCTTTTGCTAGTTAGGAATTAATTTCCTTTTTTTTTTTTTTTAAAAAAAAAAAGGTTGTTTTATTGGCACATTCAGGAGTAGGCATTAGGATGGGGAGGAGAGACATTAAAAAGGGTGAGGGAAGGCAGTTTAAATTAAAACATTGCTGATTGAATTTATATTCCTGACAGTCCTCATGTTGTGTGTTAAACCGATTAAAGGAAGAAAAGATGAGATGGAAGATAATGAAGGTTTTTTCCCTCCCAAAACATCACCAGAGACCTGCAGTTAGGTCACGGCTGGATGGCTCAGAACCGACTCGGGGTGTGGGTCTTCCTCTCTAGGCTGGGAGCTTCTTAAAGACTAGAGCCTTGCTTCAAACAAAGGGGTTTTTCAGGCCAGGCGAGGTGGCTCAGGCCTGTAATCCCAGCACTTTGGGAGGCTGAGGTGGATGGATCACTTGAGGTCAGGAGTTTGAGACCAGCCTAGCCAACATGGTGAAACCCCATCTCTACTAAAAATACAAAAATTAACTGGGTGTGGTGACATGTCTCGGTAATCCCAGTGATACTTAGGAGGCCAAGGCACGAGAATTGCTTGAACCTGGGAAGCAGAGGTTACAGTGAGCCAAGATTGTGTACTGCACTCTAGCCTGGGTAACAGAGTGAGACTTTATCTTAAAACAAAACAAAAAACGGGGCGGTTTCAGATGGAAGGGAAATGTGATGTTAAAAATATATTCATTAATAAATAGACTTGAGTGATAGCCTTGCGTGATGTCCATTTGTTTAGTCTGATTGGCTGAGCATAGGTGTTTAAAACATTAGGTTTACCCTTATGAAACATTTCCCACTCATCCCTTTGGTTTTCCCTTCTAGATTCTGCAGTGTAAATGTCAGCTTGAGTGGATTCCGGCTGAGAAGAAAGAGAAGAGAGACTTAACTATTGGAAAATGTGTCAGAGGATAAACTCCCAACCCAGACTTTTAACTCAAAATAGTGTGAATTTGTATATGCCTTTAAAAGAACCAATATTAGCCAGGCATGGTGGCTCACGCCTGTAATCCCAGCACTTTGGGAGGCTTAGGTGGGTAGATCACTTGAGGTCAGGAGTTCAAGACCAGCCTGGCCGACATGGTGAAACTCCGTCTCTACTAAAAATACAAAAGTTAGCCAGGTATAGTGGCACACGTCTGTAATCCCAGCTACTCTGGAGGCTGAGGCAGGAGAATTGCTTGAACCCAGGAGATGGAAGTTGCATTGAGCTGAGATCGTGCCACTGCACTCCAGCCTGGCAACAGAGCAAGACTCCATCTCAAAAAAAAAAAAATTAAATTAAAAAAATAAATTAAATAACCAGTATTTTGTTTACTAAAATATCTTTTTTAAAAAAGGTGTCATGGCTTTTAAAATAAATCAAAATTTATCTCTCTCTGTCTCCCATATGGCACCCTCCACTCTATGTTGTAAAGAAGGGGGTTTTGTAGACTCACACCTCCTCTACCATCTCAAGCTGGGGGGTGCCACATGAGAGGCTTCCACAGAGGACGAGGTGGTGCAGAAGCATTTGCTGTGGGGGTGGGGCCCCCAGCACTGGGTGCCTGGGCCAGCTACGACCCCACCGCAGGCCCCCTCATAGGCTGTCCTCCTGGACCCTCATTTCTCCTCTTTCCTTCTTACAGGTGCCACGCCCCTGGGAGAGTGTTTTCACTGTGAGGGTGGAGGGAGGCTGTGTATGTCTAGGAGGGCTGGCTCCTGTGCTACCCACGAGGGTCCTCGCAGCGGGGAATTGTGGGAGCCCCACGGTGTGCTTTGTGCTCTCCTCATCTGTTTGCTTCTTGGGATTTGCTGATGAGATGAAGGATGAGGCATCCATAGGAGCTGCTGGAACCAAGGGCAAGGAGGATGGGAAGAGGTTTTACCCAGCACCTAACACACACAGATCTCTGTGACAAGAGCTCATGCTCTCCCGCTTTTCACAAGACCCCAGAGTGGATGGGGAATGAGGCGACAGCAGCCAGCACCGGAAGCAGGGTGCAGTGTTTGATCTTGTTGCTGACGGCTGCATGGGAAGCTTGCAGGAGTGTGTGTTACTAAATGTCTACCCGTCCTGGCCCAGCTTGGTAGCAGGTTGCATTTTCCATGTGGGGAGTCGGGAGTTCCATCTTAAATTGCACCGTGCTTGCTGGATGCTCTTCATCACAATTTAGGAAGCAGGAGAGAATTTACAAAGTTCTGCGGACAGACAGACCCTGGTCCCACAAGCTGCGGAGCTCACCATAGTCAAAGCGGACTTTCCCGTAAGCCCAGACCTAAGCCTCTCTGAAGGAGGCCACTCCAGCCTTTGCCAGGAGCTCTGTCGACTTTATTCTGCCTAATCCTGCTGTGGCCTGGGGTCCTGTTGGAACATGAATGGAAGACCGGAGGTGGAATGCCGTTGGCTTTCTGCCACCTGCCCCCCACGCGTCCATGACATGCTCAAATGGGGCCTAGAACTGACCCTGGGCCGTGGCCTACCATCCTGCCTGTGTCAGGGCCGCTCTGCAGCCTGGCAGGCCACGCCGCCCACCCTGGCCCGTGTTCCTGCCCCAGGGGCCTGGCCTCTCTGCTTACTGCCCATCCCGTGGGTGTCGGGCATCCCCTGCTCCTGCCTGGCCTGGTATCAGACCTACAACCTCGGCACTGTTTCCTCATTTCCTCCCTCATGCCCATCCACCTGTGCGCCTCCCTAAGTCCAAGGAGGGTGGGGGAATCTGCTGGCCAGGAGACACTCAGGTGCTAAATATAGTGCTTTTCTAGGCTTTGGGGTTTAAAGCTACACTTTGGAATTTGCGGAAGATCTGGCCACCTTGGAAAATTTGGCAGAAGATGACCTAAGGATGGAACTCAACCACTGATCATCCCCGTCATGTCCCTGGCTTTTCTGGTTTTTCTTTTTGGTTTTATTTTTTTAGAGATGAAATCTTGCTGTGTCCCCCAGAATGGAGTGCAGTGGTACAATCATAGCTCACTGCGGCCTTGGACTCCTGGGCTCAAGTGATCTTCCCACCTCAGCCTCCGGAGTAGCTGAGACTAGGCCGTGCTAATTTTTTTATTTTTAGTAGGGACAAGGGTCATGCTATACTGCCCAGGCCAGGTGTAGGGTTTTTGTGAAGAGCATTTGGGAGCTTTACTTTTGCTTTGTTACTTTTCCAAACCACTAGGGGGAGATGATTAATCACGAATTAAAGGGATTTGTTTCTTTTTTTTTTTTTTTTTTTCCAGTAAAGAAAGAATTTAATTGAAGTAAGGCAGGCCACCCGGGGGATGGAGTTATTATTCAAATCAGTCTCTCTGAAGACTCAGAGGTTAGGGGTTTTCAAGGTGGAGTTCTTGTTATAATTCCACTCTTTCTCCCTTCTCCCTCTCTCTTTTTGAGAAAGGGTCTCACTCTGTCACCCAGGCTGGAGTGCAGTGGTGCGATCAGAGTCCACTGTAGCCTCAAACCTTTAGGCTCCAGCCATCCTCCCGCCTCAGCCTTCTGAGTGCCTACAGCCGCTACACCTGGCTTAGTTGTTTTTTTTTTTTTTTTTGAGACGGAGTTTCGCTCTTGTTAGCCAGGCTGGAGTGCAATGGTGCAATCTCGGCTCACCGCTACCTCCGCCTCCTGGGTTCAGGCAATTCTCCTGCCTCAGCCTCCCGAGTAGCTGGGATTCCAGGCACGCTCCACGACGCCCAGCTAATTTTTTGTATTTTTAGTAGAGACAGGGTTTCACCATGTTGACCAGGATGGTCTCGATCTCTTGACCTCGTGATCCACCCGCCTCGGCCTCCCAAAGTGCTGGGATTACAGGTTTGAGCCACCGCGCCCGGCCGGCTTAGTTGTTTTAAGCCACCAAACCTGTGGTAAGTAACCCGGTGAAACAACTCCTATTGCGTAGTATATTTGTGAGGTCTTTTCCCCTTAGGATTTCATGTACATTTTAGGATTTAAGTTCTTTGAGAGCAAACCATGGTACTCAGACCTCCTTATTCACTTCAATGTGCTGTCATCGTGCAGGCCCACGCGTAGGGCCTGAGTTTTGGGAGATGAGTGCTTTTCCCTACATCCCGTTTATTCCACGCCTCCCGGGGTCCTGGAATAGTTGACACCACCAGCTGCACAGGCCGAACTCACACCACGGGGATGTGGGAACTACTGTTTCCTGCCGCAAACTAATACAGCACTGTTGGCTGTCAGGTGAGGCCTGGAACAGTGGGAACTTGGTAGTTCTGAGTGGTTGGCTGTTTGAGGTGTGATTCATCTCCTGGAGAAATGCTCCCAGGGTTTCCTTTGTAACCAGGACAAAGTGCCATAGAAGTTAATCATTTAGTTGCTGAAAAGCATTGAACACCCACTTGGGTCTGGCAAAGTCTTTCTGAATAATACAGGGAGGTTCAGGAGGGAAAGAAGCCAAGCCAAGGATGGGGGGCACTTTCTGTACTTGGCTGTCAGAAACCTGGACTCACAATTTTATTGAGGCCGTTAGGGGTTGAGTAGAAAGTTTTTCTTTCTTTCTTTCTCTCTCTCTCTTTCCTTTCTTTCTTTCTTCTTTCTTTCTTTTCTTTCTTTCTTCTTTCTTTCTTCTTTTTTTTTTTTTTTTGACAGGGTCTGACTGTGGCACCTAGGTTGAAGTGCGGTGGTGCCATCTCTGCTCACTGCAACCTCCGCCTCCCAGGGCTCAAGCGATTCTCCCATCTCAGTCTCCCAAGCAGCTGGGACCATAGGCGTGTGCCACCGTGCCCAGCGAATTTTGGTATTTTTTGTAGAGACAAGGTTTTGCCATATTACTGGCCTCGAACTTCTGAGCTCAAGCAATCCTCCCACCTTGGCTTCCCAAATTGCTAGGATTACAGGTGTAAGCCATTGTGCCCAGCTCAGAAATTTTTATAACTTGTTATTATTTCAAAGAGCTTATGTTTTTAGAGCCCCCCTTTTTTAGATTCATTCAGAATTGAGTGAATTGAGAGGGTGTCCCACCACCCACCATGCTATCAACATCCCATATACATTTTTAAGTCTTTTTTTATTTTAGAGGCAGGGTTTCGCCTTGTCACCCAAGCTGGAGTGCAGTGGACAACCATAGCTCACTGTGGCCTCAAACTCCTGGCTCAAGTCATCCTCCTCCCTCAGCCTCCCAAGTAGCTGGGACTATAGATGCATGCCACCCAGCCCAGCTATTTTTAAGTGTTTTTGTAGAGACAAGGTCTTGCTATGTTGCCCAGGCTGGTCTTGAACTTGTGACCTCAAGCAGTCCTCCTGCCTCAGCCTCCCAAAGTGCTGGGATTACAGATATGAGCTGTTGTGCTCAGCCATAAGGTATTCTTACACATTTTAGAATGATTACTTCTATTGTAAAATTACTGTCCGAATATATATATCCAAGAGTGAATTTTATGATAGATTTAAGAGGGGTCAAGCCTTTTTTCTATAAAAGTGAAAAAGACAACCACAAACCCTTACAACTGACATCAGCAGCAGCCCCAAACCTAAAGAGGGGGGTGTTGTCCCAGCTTCAAGTGGCTCAGCTACAGGGTCTTGAGATGGAACTCCACGGCAGCATCTAAGGACCTGCTGGGATTCCTGGAGTTGGCCAGGAGATTGGCTGGATAAGTGGTCTCTACAGACCACCCTGCGTGCCACCCCATGCCCACATAGCCCACTTGAACCCACCACTGCATAACTTTGCAGGTCCTAATTGGGACCACCTACTCTGCTTGGAGGGTCTGGATGGAGTTTTACCTCTACGGATGCCTCTCGCTCATCCTCCATCACCTTGCTGACAAGGCAGGACAATTGGGAGGAGGGAGTCTTGCTTGGCAGACCTAAAGGCAGGGTTTCACTTTGTCACCCAGGCTGGAGTGCAGTGGACAATCATAGCTCACCGTGGTCTCAAACTCCTGACTTAAGTCATCCTCCTCCCTCAGCCTCCCAGGTAGCTAGGACTATAGATGCATGCCACCCGGTCCATCAGCAGTGTCTCGCCCATGGCAAGCTGGATCTCTGTGGATTACTTTGGTGGGCAGAAACTGGTTGGCACCCTATTTAATTTGGACTTTTTGGGGGATAACTGCACACTGGTTCTCTTTTCTTCTCAGACCTGAATTTTGACCACACAACCTTTCAGCCTGCTCACCCCTGCTCACCCCCATCCTCCTTTGGGCTGGGTTGGCCCCAATCCACCCCCTGACAGAGCCCTCAAAGTAGCCTTTACAAGATAAAGGTCGAGACCCCAACTTACCAACAAATTTTAATGAAACTTCTAGAAAAAGTGCTTTGCCAACATCCTTAGGAACCGCTCAGTTCTTGCAGCTGAGGGCGCTGTTGAAGTCTCTTTGGCTGCAGTGGGGTGGAATCCGACATGCAGCAGCCTCACTGCTTGTTGGAGGAATCGCCCTTAAGAACATTTCCCAAGATAGTGGTTTTCCCATCTCCGTACTCTGCTAGTTAATGTTCTCCACTTGCTTGGGTTTATCCTTTCAATCCCTTCGGCAATTAAACTGCTGAAAAGTATATATTGGTAAGAACAGACATCGTCAATGGACTGCAGACAAAACTCTTTTCTGTTACTGAGGATAAACCATTTCAGACAAGACCAGGCTGAATCTAAAGGGTTCAGGTAATTGCAGGGGGAAGGCAGAGAGAGTAGTTCATGGCCACAGGACTTGGCCACCTCTGGGCAACACACAGTGTTTGCTAAGCTGCTGACTGCAGGGATATAGACCTGGCCCTCAGCCTCTCTGTCTTCCTTTGGCCTCCACTCCTCCCGCTGCCTTCTTTCTTTGACCACGATAATACACTTTCCATAGGCCTTCCTCACCACGTCGCAGAACTCGGAGAAGAGGCTGACTTCTTGTTTGACGTGAAGCTCATCTCTTAGGAACATCCGATATCGCCAAGGCACCCATCCCTGACTACCCCCAGCGTGCACAATACACCAACTTGGGGTTTGCATGTAATATCCATCACTGACATCTTCCCCAGTCACGAGACTTTCTGGGATACTGGTTTCCCCAAAATATACGGTCTTAAATCCATCATATTGCAGTGTTCTCAGGGTTTTCAGATACTGGAGGCATTGCTTCCTCTTAATGCCATCAAGTTGACTTCTGTTAATGATGTTTCTGAAAAGAGGGTTTGCAAAGCGAAGCATGGTGGCTTCTCAAGTGGTTTTTTCTTGAGACAGAGTTTCACTCTTGTTACCCAGGCTGGAGTGCAATGGTGCGATCTCAGCTCACCGCAACCTCCGCCTCCTGGGTTCAGGCAATTCTCCTGCCTCAGCCCCTCGAGTAGCTGGGATTACAGGCACGCGCCACCATGCCTAGCTATTTTTTTTTTTTTTTATATTTTTAGTAGAGACAGGGTTTCACCATGTTGACCAGGATGGTCTCGATCTCTTGACCTCGTGATCCACCCGCCTCGGCCTCCCAAAGTGCTGGGATTACAGTCTTGAGCCACCACACCCAGCCTCAAGTGTTTTTAAAAGCTTACATGTCTGCATCTGGGGGATGATGACCTCATAAAGGGCTTTCTTACAGCTGTGCCAGTCCCACAGATACACTTCAGGTTTCAAAGCATCATGAACAACTCCCTGCTGACCCATAAAATGTGGGAATCGCTGATGCTACCCACAAAAGTGCTCCTTCGGCATCACTTCTGCAAAGGTCTGAGACAGAGGTTTGCAATCTTTTAGTAGCAGTGAGTCTACTGGTTTGGCTTAAGGTGGAGAGAAACGTTTACATTCGTGTATCCACGTCAAAAATAGTTCCTGAGCACCCACTACACACCAGGCATTGTGCCTGGCTCCAGGGGTATAGTCATGACACACCCAGGCAGTCCTGGACTTACATGTTGTGTGTCTGTGTATGCACAGAACTTCTGCCAACTGCCTTCCCACTGGTGCAACCAACAGTGATTCTTACGGGTGGCAGAGGAAGGGATGGCAAATAGCAAAAGAAAGTCAGTCTGCACACCTGCCTTCCACTGGAGCTTGCAGTAGGATTAGCTTGAGCTAATTCAATACCCCATCTGGAAAGCACTTTTAATTTTGCATACTCAGGCAAAATGACAGTTTGCTTCAACACTTTCTTCAATTTCCTTTATATTTTCTTGTCTTCTTGGTCAGGCTGGTCTCGAACTCTTGACCTCAGGTGATCTGCCTGCCTTGGCTTCCCAAAGTACTGGGATTACAGGTGTGAGCCACTGTGCTCAGCCACTGTAATCAGCCAGTGATTTTTTACTTTTTGCTAGGCAAAAAGATCATTTTGTTGTTTTAACTTGTTTAATTATGAGTAAATCTGGCAATGTATTATGAAAACAATAACAAGAGGAGCTTGATATAAAATGTGCAAATTCAGATGTCCTTGAAGATCATTTTAGAGCCAGTATGAAGTGGGGCGATGCTGGTAGTGGGGGCTGGCTGTGGAGAAAACAAGCCAAAGGCAGACTTATGAGATCCTGAAGCTTTTGACTGGGGTTCACTCGGAGCCCAGACTCAGGCTGGTTCTGACAGGGACACCTGCCAGGCCTCGGCTTAGGGCCACAAGGTGGGAGACAGGAACTGGGGGTGAGGTCCCAGAGCCTAAGAGGCAACAACAGAGAGGTCTCTGCAGAATCCCATCTGAGCCCCAGACTCACTGTCCCAGGACAGGCTAAGCCAGAGTCTGTCCAGGAACTACTTTTGCATAAGGAGCTGGAAGTGGTCTACCCAGTAAGTGGGGGCCTGGATTCACGCAAACCATTGCACCATGGACGGCCAGAGAAACTCACAGAACCTTCCTGTGCTGGCTAACATACTCTCTCACTTCCTCTGCAGCCTCTGCCAAGCCAAGCAGCCAGCTCCTAGGGCTCCCCTCCCTCCACCTGAGGCTCCTCGTCCTCCCTTCCTCTGGAGCCTCCAGCCTCCCGGGGCTTGCCCTCCTCGCTGCCAGCTCCAGCAGGGGCTGCCAAAGGTGTGGGAGAGAGAAGTGGGCTTCCTGGGGCCACCTCCCACTTTGGGGTGTTTGGAGGGTGACGGAGTGACCGCCAGGGGGCAGTGTGGACAGGTCTCCATAGGACTGGTAAGGAAGACACCTTTGTAGCCACCTCAACAGACGGGAGCCCTCCACACGCCTTCTCCACTGCCCAGGTAACTGATATTCTCAAGTGACGCATTGTAATTTGTCTAATTCATTTAAATTGATTTCATATAATTGGGAGATCAAGATTGGTCAGTTCCAAGACAAAGTCTTAACTTGAACTCTCAGGACAGGGGTGGGTTCCTAAACTCGGTGTGTGAGTGTTGCTGGAGGACCGTCGGGCCATCTTCCACCTGCCACCGATCACATTCTTCACCAAAGAGGAGGAAATATTCAGAAACTAGCGGTACCAAACAACAACAACCAACAACAAAACACCAAAATACACACACAAAAAACGAAGCAGTTGCCACTATAAATAGATGTGTGTATACATGTGGCAGGTATGAATCTTAGCCACAAATTCAGTTCTGCAGGACACATCACATTTATTTATTTAAATCAAGTCATAATGGACTTGGACATGGTTGGAGGCTCTTACTACCTCCGCTCCACTTCCCAAGCCCAGTGCACAGGCGGGGCCTGAGGTCACCCTTACCTGATACTTGAGTTAAGTGCCCAGACACAAGCCCTTGTGGTCCCGTCATGTGGGCACAAGCAATTCTCCTGCCTTAGCCTCCAGTGTAGCTGGGATTTTAGGTACCTACCACCATGTCCAGCTAATTTTTGTATTTTTAATAGAGATGCGGGTTCACCATATTAGCCAGGCTGGTCTCAAACTCCTGACCTCAAGTGATCCACTGCCTCATCCTCCCAAAGTGGTGGGATTACAGGCGTGAGCCAACATGCCCGGCCTCCCAGTGACTGGCTTTCTGTGTGGTAAGCAGCAAGACCTAGACCAAACTCCTGGTGGTTCTTCAGTAGCACTTTCGGGAACAAAAGATACCTGACCAGGACCAAGGGGGCTTCTTCACCTTTCTCGATCTCTCTCTAGACCTTCTTTTCCTCTTAAGGAAAATGAGAGAATTAGACCAGGCAAAGACTGAGGTTCATTCGCCCTAAGAGTCTGACCTTTCTCTTTCTTATGAAACTAGAAAGGTGTGTGGGTGTGCATGTAAGCATGCGTGTGCGAGGTGTGCACAGGTGTGGCAAAGTATGTAAATGTGTCTGTGTATATGTGGGGGTGTCTTGACCCATGTGAGTGTGTGTGTGTGTGTGAGGTTGTGTGTATGAGTGTGTGTATTTGTTTGCTTGTTTTCTGAGACGGAATCTCACTCTGTCGCCCAGGCTGGAGTGCATGGCACCATCTCAGCTCACTACAACCTCCGCCTCCTGGGTTCAAGCAATTCTCCTGCCTTAGTCTCCCAAGTAGCTGGGATTACAGGCACCTGCCACTATGCCTGGCTAATTTTTTGTATTTTAAGTAGAGACAGGGTTTCACCATGTTGGCCAGGCTGGTCTCAAACTCCTGACCTCAGGAGATCCACCCGCCTCGGCTTCCCAAAGTGCTGGGATTAGAGGCAGGAGCCACCACGCCTGGCTGAGTATGTGCGTCTGTGTGTTTGCTTATGGGAACGTGCAAATGTTTGTGTGAATGCATGCACGTGTCCCTGTGAATTGTGAATACGCTGGACTTATGGAGCACTCAGTTCCGGATGTGCTTCCTGTTTCCTCAGCAGCCGAGCTTGGGCCTGGCATTGAGTGACAGCACTCCAACCCCCCTGGAACCCCTCCCACACCTGCTTCCCATGGCATTCCCAGCTCCCACCACTGGGAAGCAGCTGGAATCACGAATCAGGGTAATCACTAAATTCTCTTCAACCTTCCTCAGCTCCTGGTTTGTTGAGGCAAACCCCCATTTCTGGCTTCCCCTGAGACCTCCCCTCCCCGAAACAACAGACTCACCATGGGCCCATCCAGGTCTCTTCGGGAGCTTCACGGAATTGCTTCTGCCTGGCCCCAGCTCAGAGGTTCTGACAGAATTGGCCTGGGGTGAGGCCTGGCATCCATGGGATTTTCACAAGCTTCCAGGTGATTCTACAGGGAAGCCAGGGTGAGAACCCTGGTCCTAGAACCAGGTCTGATCAGGGCCTGGTGGGGAACTGTGAGTGCAGAACATTAGCGCTCCCAGGGCCTCAGGGGTGGTTTCGAAAGGAACAGAGCACATGTTTTTCTCACATAGACATATAGAGAGAGACTTTTTAATACATACATATAGAGAGGATGTTTTCATAAAGAGAGGTTTGGGTTTTCTGTTTTGTTTTGTTTTGTTTTTTGAGATGGAGTTCCGCTCTTGTCACCCAGGCTGGAATGCCCTGGAGTGATCTCAGCTCATTGCAACCTCGGCCACCCAGGTTCAAGTGATTCTCCTGCCTCAGCCTCCCGAGTAGCTGGGATCATAGGCGCCCACCACCATGCCTGGCTAATCTTTTTTTTTTAAGTAGAGATGGGATTTTGCCATGTTGACCAGGCTGGTCTCAAACTCATGACCTCAAGTGATCTACCTGCTTCGGCCTACCAAAATATTGGCCTGGGTTTTATATAGGTTAAAAAGATAGAAAATAGGTAATGAGATTAGGCTTCCCCTTGCTTTCAAAACATGGTTTGGGAGCCTCAGAACTGGTTCTACTCTGCGATAGCCATGAGTACTGTTCCTCCAACTTTTGGCTCTCAGCCTTCCAGGCACCAGCGGGATGGGACTTCCCTGCCACTCATGGTTGAGTGGAGCCATGGGCTTATTCTAGCTAATGAGTAGTGGATGGAAGTGGTGCGTGTCTCTTCCAGGCCTAGAGCATTTAACTGTCCAGGTGAAATTCTCAGGGCCTCTTCCCCCAGGTGCTGAGAATGGCAATGTTTCCAGAGGGTCTGCGGGGGCAGCCTGAGTCTCAGAGCACAGCCCCCAGTGGACCTGCTGCACATATGTGGCAGGGAAAGGAAGAGAGCCAGCTGTCTGCAGCCACTGAGAGTCTGGGGTGGTTGTTTTCATGATGAAACCAGCTCGCCCTGACTCATACAGCCTTTGAGTTATATAGATGGGGAATGAGGCTCTTGGGCCCCTCTGCTCTCACAAAGCAATAGTCTAGCTAAATCCATCTATCGGCCAGGCACAGTGGCTCACGCCTGTAATCCCAGCACTTTGGGTGGCCAAGGGGGGTGGGTCACCTGAGGTCAGGAGTTGGAGGCCAGCCTGGCCAGCATTGTGAAACCCCATCTCTGCTAAAAATACAAAAATTAGCCTGGTATGGTGGTGGGAGCCTATGATCCTAGCTACTTGAGAGGCTGAGGCAGGAGAATTGCTTGAACCTGGGAGGCGGATGTTGCAGTGAGCTGAGATAGCACCATTGAGCTCCAGCCTGGGCAACAAGAGCAAAATCCTGTCTGAAAAAAAAAAAAAAAAAAAAATCCATCTATCTAGGGAAGCAGAGAAGGGGAGGTGCTGGCTCGCACCTGTATATTGTCACGCAGGTGACAATTGTTCAAAAGTCAGGACACCTGGAGCGATACCTCAGCCACACCTAGGTGAGGGCCTTAAGGCCACACCAACAGGAAGTGGCAGAGATGGGACGCACATTGGTCTTCTCACTCCCAGTCCAGCACTGAGCTGCGAACTACCAGGACACCATGCCCCCACATGAGTAGTCTTCCCACTCCTCACCTGGAAGGAAAAGTGTTTTTTGGACAAATACCTAATGGAGACATTACATGGGCTTTGGAATCCATTAGACCTAGCTTCTTGAAACTCTTGCTAGCTGCGTGACAATATACAAGTTTCTTAACCTCTCTGAGCCTCAGTCCTCTAATTACACTCCCCTCATAGAGTTTCTAAGAGCAACCCCGGGGCTGGCACATGTCAATGCACCTAGCATTTGGTGGAGTTTGTTAAATGTTCTCTCCCTATTGCACCTTGAATGGTAAAGGTGGCCTGCCAGCCTCCATTCCCCAGCAGTGCCCTGAGCTCATTCAGGTGTTCATCCATCTCCCACAGAACTCAGGTTCTTTTGGAGGAAGCCATGTCAAGTCCTGCTCCAGGCTTAAGCCAGTCGCACATTCCCTGCCCTGCCCCATTGCCAGGTTCGGGAGCGTGCTCGTGATCCAAGCGTCCCACCCCCAGATACATCTCAAGATTCTTGCTTGTACTTATGGACACTCAGGCTCCTCCAAGAAGGAATCGAACTTGCTTCTCTTTATGTCCTTTCCTCTGGGAGATGTGTTCTCATCAACATGTTCAGACGCGGCCCATCCAGCAGGGGACAGCCTGGGCTCAAGCTGGGATGCCTATTTAATTTATTTTCTGCTAATTAAACTTCCTAATATACTCCACTCTGAGCGTGTTTGCAGGCAGGGGTGTGGGATAAGCGGCCCTGCCTGGCTGGGAGACGAGGCAGCTCCCTGCTGCACTGTGTATTAATAAAGAGACATGCATGGCAGTGCCTGTTTGGGCCAAGGTGGCAGCTTAGGACAGAAGGCACGTGGCAATCAGGGTTTCAAACAACCCAGGAAGAACACTGCTTCAGGGAAGACAGCTCAGCATCTCCCTGGCAAAGAATAATGACATTGGTAATACTCTCCAAAGAATTTCAGGATTTTGAGCAAACAGAAAAGCAACACAGAAATTCATATCATCAAAACAATATGGCTTTATTGGACCCTTAAGACTTTTATTGGAGGCTCAAGAGCATAATCCTGCTGGTTGGTTTCACTTCGTCGATTTTCCGTTGTGTCTAATTACATTGCTCATGCTGATGGCAGATGACCATCAGCTCTTTTCCTGCCTGTCCTGAGGTTCATCCACCAATGTTTCAGTTCTGCTGTAAGATATTGTCCTGAACCCCCAACATCTCGTGCGTGCTGTTTTTTTTTTAAGAGTTCATAGCGGGTGGAAGACTCTCCTCTGTAACACACTTATGTTCCCTCCCAACCAGGCCTGGGAGGAGGAGGAGTCTAGCTTGTGGGGGCTGTTCATATGCTGTGGACCATGCAGAACCTGGAGAGGTCATGACCCCCTCTAAAAGTCATCTGCCCTGAGCCCTTCCCTTTGTAGGAGGCATTTACTAAATGCCAGGTTCCTGAAAGGCTCTGGGATGGGCACTCCCTCTCCCAAGCCCTCTCTTTCATTACTGCTTTTCTATTTCTGACCAGGGTTCCCTGTCCCTCCTCCCTGCTCCCATGGGACCCCAGTTCACCTCCATCTTTGCTCAGTTGCCCTGCACTGTAGCAGTCCATTCACATGCTGTCTTCTCCAGAAGAAATAGCTGGAGGAGAAGTTTACAGGGTTTCCTGGGCCAGGGCTGGTCTACAGTCACCGGGCAGCAGGAAACAACCCTTCAGGGCCCAGGAAGGCCAAGGCTGGTGGGCAGGTACAGGGGGAGCTCTCCACCACTGTGTAACCTGGAGGCTGTTTCCCCTGGACCCTGCTGATGGGACCCCAGACACTTCAGGCTGCCCACTACCCTGCATGTCTCCCCGTGCCCCGGCTTCCCTGCATGTCTGCCTGACACGGACAGTGCCCCCTCAGGCCTCAGGACACCCTCTGTCCTGGAGGCCTGTGCCATGGGCCCTGTGTGCCATGGGTGAGGTGCACAGCAGCCTCCGGGTCACACTTGCCCTGCCAAGGAGCCTCCAGGAACTGGGAACTCCACAGGGCACAGAGGACTCACACCAACACTGTGCTGAGAGATTTCACTACGTTGCAACCTGGCTTCCACCTGCACTAAGCTTCGTCCCCAAAGGCGACCCCAGCCCGGGCTGAGTCTTGGCTCAAGACTTTGCAGTACAGCCAAACCACAAAATACGCCTTGTCCAGCCCACCCTGCTAAACCGTTTTCAGTAGTTCTCCCCTCACCCTTCAGGAACTTTCCACTTCCAGGTGGCCCCCGTTCCATGTTCGTTTCCTCTTAGTCCCTTTTTGTTCCCTTTCTGTTCCCCCTTTGAAGACCTCATTCACCGTTTTCTCAGTTGGGGCTGAGCTTGGTTGGTTCTGGAATCTGTCTCCCCTGCTGCAGGAGTCTGAAGGAGTCCGTCTTGCCGCCTGAAGCACATGTCCAGCGCTGCTTTTTTTTGATGAGTGTCTTAGTCAGTTCAGGCTGTTAGAACAAACACCATAGACTGGGTAGCTTAAGCACCAAACGTTTCTCTCTCACAGTTCTGGAAGCTGGAAGTCTGAGGCCAAGGTGTTGGCAGATTCGGTGCCCGGTGAGGGCCTGCTTCCTGGTCCATGGAAAGGACACTTCTTGCTGTGTCCTCACATGGTGCAGAGAGAGAGGGAGGTGGCTGGTGTCTCTTTCCTGTAAGGGCACTGATCCCATCATGGGGGCTCTACCATCGTGACCTCATCTAAACTTCCTGAAAAGTCTCACCTCCATACTATCACATTGGCGATTAGGGTTTTAACGTAGATTTTTGGGGATGAAGGGCAAAAGCGTTCAGTCCATGGCACATGCCCAGTGCCCTGACTCCTGTGACTGCCACACCACAGCCTCGCTGGGCCTCTGTCCTGAAGGCATGTGCCATGGGTCCTGTATGCCATGGGCGAGGTGCACAGCCGCCTCTGGGCCATGCCACCAGCGAGTAAGCTCCTGGCACCTTGGCTCTCTCTGATCACCCATCTACCAGTCTTGCGGCTCCTGTGCATTGGAGGATTTGCTCCCTGGGGACTGTGGGCCAACTGTGGCCCCTGCCAACCATGAACTTCCCCTCCTGCTAGTGGCTGCGATCACATCTTCTCTAAAGATGTCCGAAGCCCAGCCTTGGGGAACCGAGTTGAATCTTTCCTGGGTACTGAGACCTAGGGAACCCTTGAGAATTCTCTTTGTACTTGATAGTTTCTTCCTCACTAAGCGTAATCATTTCTTCACAGGGAACTTCCTCTATTCAAGTGACCGTATGGTTTCTGCCTCCAGCTTCATTTTTTGGTACTGTAAGAGAGGCAAGCATGGAGCATAGGGGCACAGGGGATGGGCAACTGGCAAGCAGGGAGATGCGTGCTGCACACTTAGTGCCTGGTACACACCAAGTTCTTTTAGTCTGGATTTCATTATTTTTCAATGAGTATTGCTATTTTTAAAAGAACAGTTGCAATATTTATTGTGTGTTTTGCAGTAAGTGGGTAAAGATCAGTAAGATATTGTAGATCAATTAATCAATGTTATCTTTTATTCTTTATTTTTAAAATTATTTTTTTGAGACAGAGTCTCATTCTGTCACCAGGCTGGAGTGCAGTGGCCTGATCTTGGCTCACTGCAACCTCTGGCTCCCTGGTTCAAGCAGTTCTCCTGCCTCAGCCTCCCGAGTAGCTGGGACTACAGGCATGCACCACCATGCCCTGCTAATTTTTGTATTTTTTAAGTAGAGACGAGGTTTCACCATGTTGGCCAGGATGGTCTTGATCTCCTGACCTTGTGATTCACCCGCCTCGGCCTCCCAAAGTGCTGAGATTACAAGTGTGAGCCGCTGCGCCCAGCTGATATCTTTTATTCTTAAAAATCATATTCTCCTGGTTCAGTGGGAAACAGACTGCTGACCTGTATTTACAGTATTATGTGGTAAGGGTTCTCATTTTCAGGTGTGTGTTAGTCCTTTCTCATGCTGCTAATAAAGACATACCAGAGACTGGGTAATTTATAAGGAAGGAGGCTTAGTTGACTCCCAGTTCCACATGGCTGGGAAGGCCTCAGGAAACATACAATCATGGCAGAAGAGGAAGGAAACACATCCTTTTTCACATGATGGCAGGAAGGAGAAGGGCAGAGCAAAGGAGAATTATAAAACCATCAAATCTTGTGAGAACTCGATCTCTATCATGAGAACAGCATGGAGGTAATTACCTCCCACCAAGTGCCTTCCAAGACATGGGGATTATGGGATCCATAGTTCAATATGAGATTTGTGGGGACACAGCCAAACCATATCAAGGTGCCGTCTGCGAGCACCTGCCTCCACCCCTCCTTCATCCTTGCCCTCCTTCTGAAACGATTTGGTGAAATCTGGTCTCTGCCTCAGTTTCACGGCTTCCCCATGACTCCAGTTACTTCCTGATTAGCTTAAACTAAACCAAACTAAGTTACCCCAGGAAAGGATTTCTGTTCCTGACACCCCCCAACTCCCTGCTGCTTCCACTCCCCCTGTATGCTTCTGGGCACATCCCCGCGCCCCTTTGCTGCCTTCTAACCCACCCACTTCAAGCCTCTATCCCATGAGTTTCATAAAATCAGAGAAGATCAGGGCTTGAGGTGGTGGTGAGGAAATGATAGGAAACACATTTCTGGATGGGCTCGGCCATCCTGCAGATCCCTAGACCACTCCTCCCCCTTCTTTCTCTCCCTCCAGAGAACAGCTTCTCCTTGACTCCTGTGGAATAGTTCTGCTCACATTCTGCTCCAAGTCTTGGCAAACAAATGTAGTTCCTGTCCTTGGAAAGATTCTGTTGAATAAAATTTTCTCTGTTTGATCCATCCAAATGTTTACAAAGTGCTGTAGAAGCTCTGGAGGAACAAGCAGTTCTGCCTTAGGGATCAAGAAGGTTTCACAGATGGGGTGATATCTGAGCAACAATGATTATTTTTAGGTGGCTCTTGCTCTGTCGCCCAGGCTGGAATGTCATGATGTGATATCAGCTCACTGCAACCTCCACCTCCTGGGTTCAAGTGATTCTTCTGCCTCAGCCTCCCAAGTAGTTGGGATTACAGGTGCCTGCCACCATGCCCAGCTAATTTTTGTTTTTTAAGTAGAGACAGTGTTTCACTATATTGGTTAGGCTGGTCTCTAACTCCTGACCTCAAGTGATCTGCCCACCTTGGCCTCCCAAAGTGCTGATATTACAGGCGCGAGCTACTGTGCCCAGCCAACAGTACTTTTAATTGGCATTTTCTTCAAAGACTTGGGTGCCCTCTGGATGTAGAAGGGGCCCATGACCCAGCTTCAGCCAATCAGAGCACTCCACTTGCTGGGCCACCTATATACCTGCTCTTCCCTGATCCACTACAATGCCCTTACTCTGAGATCTGAAATCTGAGCAAAAGCACAAAGAGGCAGACATGGGAGCTGAGCTGTCTTTTGGGAGGATCCTAGTGATTCTCACTGAAGAATTCATTCTCCGGCTGAAGCCACCAAGTGAGGACCCCAAGACAGACTAACCTGTCTCCTGAGGCTGGGAGGAGCTGCTGTCCTTTTGATTCTGTGAGCTACCTCAGTTGCCTTCCCCCAAATCACTCACACACACACACACACACACACACACGCACACACGCACGAGCTAGGTAGAGCTGTTTTCTGTAATTGCCAACAGAACACTAACTGTATTTGAAGAATGAGCTGGCATTCTTCTGCTCCAGTAGAAGTCAGAGGGATCGGTTATGAGAATCAGAGCCCGCCTGTGACTCCAGGAAGAGATGCATAAATACCAACAAACTTTTAGTCTCTAAATTCTTTCTTTAAATCCTTCTTTTTAAAAATGTGAGGAGTACATCACACAAGAAAATCAAATCTTAATGCAACCAAGTGATCCAAGTTTTACTGAAGAGATGGGTTACAATCACCTGGGCAGCTCCAGTTACCTTGATTTGGTTTGTTACAAACCCTGGTACCGTCAGCCACAGATTCCCAGAGGAATTCATTCCTGGATGACTTCCTCATTGAATTTAAGTAATTTCCATTTCAGAGGAATGGCCTTTATCTGACCTGATCCCCTAAATCTTAGGGGAAACTTACACAGGGACATAGACAGTAGGTGTCTGGAATGTTCAGAATCTGCATGTTCTGTCACTGTCTCCATCAGGGTTGGTGGCACATGCAAATCTCTTTCCCACTCTCTGGTTGAACATTTAACGTCATGGTGCCCACACCTTTCCAATTAGTCTCTGTACATGGGGTTTGTCAAGACAGAGGTTCATGGTCCTGACCCTGAGCATGTCAGAGTTCAGGCGTTTTATGCGAAATACCCATACTACTTGGGATCATTTCCCACTGGTAGT